GAATTTCAATTTCAGTATTCGGGACTTTCACAGTCAGATAGTCGGACAGGGAACACATCTCACACAACATGCAAAACATTTCCCACATGCCAATCACTTCTCAGCAAATCTACATGCTCCGAAATTTGCACGTATCCACGACACAGCTTGGCTCTAATGAGTGACACATTAACCCACCCTGTACAACAAATGCATCTGCACTACCAATGCACACACTCTTTCAACCTTTAACCTGACACTATTTCAAAAATAATACGCACATTTACTATCAACACTTGATGATAGGGCTGCACGACACTCTATTACAATTGCAGTCTGGATTTTCACATAGAGCAATACAGCATGAAGCAAAATGCAAAAAAAAAAATCACAGAAAAGGTTTTACTGTGAAGCAGCTACATGCGTGATATACAATACAGCACAATAAAGTGATGAGTTAGTGACTGAAGGTGCTTACTGTTGGTACATCAGAACAGGAGATGTGCATATATATTATACATAATATTGTTGCTTATGGGTGAACTGTTACCATCTGGTGTGGAGCTGGTCACATTCATCAATAATCTGGTTTCTGATAAGTTTAAAAAAATAGGATGGAATATACTTTGATTTTGTTACACAAGAACTAGTATTACTGTGTTATACTTGCAGCACAAACAATTAGAAAGTGGTACCACCATCATAACATTTACACACTGCCCGTTTTCTCTTCATCACCTTGCCACGGTGTCAGAAACACTGATTTATTACAGCCACAGTACCATAAAAAGACCCCCCCACTGTCACTTTGATACTGCCTAATCCAAATTCAGGACTTTTAACTTTTAAGTTCTTGTCTCACAATATGTGATCAAAGCTTTGTGTTAAAATCAAAAAGATCTGAATTAGATCAAAGAAGGCTTGTTTTGTATCTTGATCTTGTGATGGTGATGTATACATGTGAAAAGGATCCATTTGTAGCAACAGTTATATCAGCGTATTCAAGAAAAGGTTAAAATCAAGGGCAAGTGGATAACTATGACCTGAATGACTGAGTACCTTCACAGACAGTTATATCAGCATGTTAAGATTATCGCTTGAAAACTTATTAACATGTTTACCGACAAAGCAATGACCAATTTGAGCACTGATTTTACTAATAATAGTAAAAATGTTTGAGCTATCAGCAGGTTACGCTGATGCATTTTGCAAACAATAAGATTGCAAATAAAGTTCTTGGCCAGGTCTTAACCTGACTCGCACTGAGCATGCACTGTTGAGTGCTGGGGGATTACAACTTGCCCCAGTTTGTTTGAAGTGGATGCAAAGAACAGCAACTAGTTTAGGTCACCTCAGACGGCCTCGTAAACAAGGAATATCCCTGTAATATCCAGCCAGACCAAAAATCAGCTGCACAGTCTTAACCCTTTTTGAAACAACAAAGTGCCTCGAAGCTTCTTGGAAGTGTGTACGAAAGGCTTCCCAACTTCCCTCATGTCACACAGACCTCACATCAATAGCTACAACACAGACAGCTCAAACATGGGGGCGACTTAACGGCATAGAAGCAAACACAGCTTCCCCCACGGCTGCACATAGCCGACAAAACCGTTAAATCAATGAGAAGAGTCTTCGTCGGGTTAGTCACACTAAATTTTACAAAACTCAAACTCTATTTGCGAGTTGTAGTATCAGGGGATTGTTGAAACATGGACATTTTCTCTAGTAACAAGGAAGTGATGGCACACTGCTACTAACTCTAGTTAGTGCCCCTATTAGCAGACTCTGCCCAGAATAGGAGCTCAGAGTACCGAGGAGTGTTGGTGTTTGTGGGGCGGGGAACCCAGAAGGTAATGCTGCCAGAGAGCAGGGCCAGGAATGAGCACCAGAACCGGTGCTGGGTGAGCGAGCAACGTAAACGGGCTCAGCAGCCTACCTGTGAACACCAGCCCTGGATCTAATGCAGGCTGCGAGACCAATGGAGGCCAGTTTGAGGACAGAGAATACAGTACTAAGGTGATTTACAGCAGCTACCGGAAAACAGGCTTTAAACAAAATGCACTTTTTTACTTGTGTAATGCTCTAGCCTACATTTGCTAATCAATACTTGATAATATAGCTGGCTTCTCAACATTTTGTCACCATTGCAGTACGAACTTTCACAACAAGTATTCTACATTTCAAACTACTGCAATATCAAAATGACTAAGATTCATATAAGCTTTCCAAACTCCAAGAAATAGTCAAAAGCAATAGGGCATGAAGAAAGGAAGCACCGTAAGAGAGCCTTTACTGTGAAGCTGCTGCGGACACATGATATACAAACAAGTCTAGAGTTAGAGGCTGGGCGTGCTTTGTTGTTGCTGCTCCAGGATGTGAACATTGAACATGCTGAATATTGCTGCATATGTTCCACGCTCATTTCCAATGTTAAAGCAAAAAATTAAGCTTGTAAATTATTCAATTTTATTATGCAAAATATTATTATATATTATTATTATTATGCACTAAAATGGCACAATAAAAAAAACAATCACAACAATTACACATTTCATATTTTCTTACCCAGCCTTTTTTTGGGGAACAGTGATTTACCACAGCAACAGTCCTACAAACAGACTTCCCCATAGTCGCAACGATGCAAATGTGTTTGTTATCAGTGACCTCTCAAGGCAGGATTTACGTTGTCAAAATTAGGATGTTCAAGATAAAACAGATCAATATATGTGTGCACTTAGGAGCTCCTGTTATGTTTTTTATGGTTGTAGGAATTAGAGCTGCGATGATCAGCTGATTCATTGATTAGTTCACTATTCAACTATTTTGATCATCGATTAAGCCTTTTGAGTAATTTTTTAAGAAACAATGTCCAGATTATGTGATTTCAGATCCTCATGTGTGAGTATTTTCTGGTTCCTCTATGATAGTAAAATCGATATGAAACTCACTGATATTGAAACTGAAATAGCAAGACAGCAGAACAGCAGTTGCAATGTTTGTATCCTTGTACCAAAGTATTTCCAACCAAGCATGACCCAAGTCACCTCATCACCCAGGTAGTCAAGGTGTAGTGACTGCTACTGTGGAAAACTAAGAGGTAGAAGAAACAGGATGTTTTCATAATATTCCCATTGGGATTTACTGTGTTTGTGGAACTACTGAGTAGTGACCTTATCCTACAGGACTATAGTCTGGAACTGCGGGCCTCCCCTCAGACAAAGCTTAGGAAACCACCACAACATCTTTAGTTTACTTGGTAAGTTTCGCTCAATTCCTGGATGCTTATGGGATCATGATTATAAAATTTGATCCCATAGACACTCAACATTTGAGCCAAAAAGCCTAATATTGCTGTTTGACATAACTTCTGATTGCACCAAATAGTTTTTAAAAACGGTCTGTCTTAAGGTTAGTTAGTTAGTTTCAGACTCTGATGGGGGGAAAACAGTTCCTAAAAACAACTGTATGACTGAACTATCACACATGTAGGCTATTCTATCTGATCTCCTTTTGATAACTAATGCATTAAGTAAAGTAATATGGTCTCACTTCCATTCACTGAGGCTCCCTGGGGGGAGGCCCACCTCCCACTTTGGAAACCCCTGGTCTAAAGTGTTTCCTATCTACTATTAATATTCATTATACGTAATGTTATACTATTAATATGGGGTGTTGTTGGTTTGTGATTTTATCACCATACAGAATTATTCCCAGTGGGGCTATAGTTTCTGTAATAGGCAATCCATTAGATACTTCCTTCACTAAGGTATTTTTTATCTTTACTGCGCTTTCACTTTGATATTCCTTCTGGGACGTAGTTCCTGTATACTGACTCTGAGATAACTTTATAGCTATTATCTTGACGGAGGTCCATCATAAAATGCCTAACGTTACTACAATAACATTCATTACATACAGTGTTCTTCCCGGAGGAAAGAAAAGCACCGTGTCCTTCTTTATACACTAAACGAAAGCACGTAATTCAACATGACATTAATTGGGAGCTTGTTAACACAGCAAATGCTATTAAGTGGGTTATTTATAATCAACGTTAGCTATGGCCGTTACTTGCGTTACTTATACATGGCTGCCCTTGTCAGGTAGTACGCGTAGTATGTTACACAAGGCCATTGGAGTACAGTAAACCACCGGAGCTGACACCGGCGACGGGTGACGGAAACGCAGCGAACTCACTCACCCAGAAGGGCAGCTCTGGTCCGCACAGCCGCTTCATCTCCGTCGCGGCGGGAGACCGGGAACCACCAGAGATCTCTGTATCCCCTCTACAGGTCGAGCCCTTTCTTGCCGACCAGCTTCCCTATTCCTTTCGCGTAAAAAGACGCTCGCTGGCTGTCACATGCCACACAGACAGGTATGCGTTGCGGAGGAGCCTCGGTGTGCGAGTCCACCGACCTGCGACAGGAAACGCTCCGCTCCTTCCGCTCTGCAGAGAGATGAGAAAGAAAAGTCACCGGCGGAGGCGAAGAAGTATTTCTTGCGAGGTTGTCGCGACGACAAAGGGCGGGGCGTCAGCTTCGTAGGCCCCGCCTCACTCTCGCTCACTCTCGCTTACAAATACACATGAAAAAACATGACTCGGCAACAAGATCTCATACTCGTGCTTTGTTGCTGAGTCATATCGTCAGGGTCGAGTCAGGGTTGAGAGGTGAGGTGAGGTTAAGTATTCTGTTTGTTTCGCCAGCGTTTCATGTCCTCACACAGATGTCATTATAATTGTGTTTGGTTTCTCTGTAGTGTCCGAGGGTTTTTGGAGTTTCAGTGGACCCAAAGATTTCTATGGACCTGAGTACAGACTAGCTAGAGGGAGTAGATTAAGTGTACTTCTCTGTTTATTCTCTTTTCGAAATAATTGTAACTCAATTATTTGCTCAACCCCTCAGCCTGTTTTTATTTTCCATTTAAACACACACACACAACGTTTAACCCTGATTGTACACTGCACTGTTGCTTTTATGTTTTATGTAAAGCACTTTGAATTACCTTGTTGTTGAAATGTGCTATACAAGTAAACTTGTCTTGGAAGCCCCCCCCCCGTGAAAATATGCACAACAAGGTGAATGTGTGTCACAGAGCTGACAAGGCAAATCCATTGTGCGATTTCCTTGAACCAAATAAGGACAATAGAAAGCCAGAGTTTCAGGACACATAAGCCACACACACACACACACACACACACACACACACACTCAGACCCTGGAGTTTCCGCCTCTAGGCTACCTTCATACCTCTATACCTGAATACGTCATCATGACATTGTGTTCACCAGTAATTTATTATTAGCTCTTCCATAATGTTTGGGAGGTTGCGAGAGAAAACTGAAAGATCTAACTTGAAGTAGCAGATGCTGAGATATTGTGACTTAAAGTCCCTAATATCGGTCAAGCTCCAGAAACACTGGATCCTACATTTCCCATAATGTTAAACATTTTAAGTCTCAAGCCCTAGCCGAGATGACCCCAATGGCTTCACCAGGGTTATTTTTTTCCATACTTTGAAAAGCTCCTACACAGCCACAGAAGACATCATGCTGTTTTCACATGCTGAGAACTGAATTCCTCGCGTAAAATTGGAGTACCCCTTTAATTGACTAATTAACTGATTAGAGTAAATTTGTAGTATTCAGTTGGTGCCCCATTCTGTTTTTAGTAGTCAAGCATATTGTTTTTTATTATATTCCCAACAAATCTGATGTTTACATATATCCATTTTGCACATGGATAGGGAAGTTACTAAATAATGATGCCTGTCCGTATGGCATACATTAGATTAAGAACATACAGCAAACACGCACATGGGCTGAAGGGACCTTTTAGTTCCTTGAAAATTAGTTCCTGGGACTAAAAGTTCCTGCTACTTTTTACTGTACAGACACTTGCAGATATTATACTACAGTATATATATTTTGTAGTATTATATTTGGACACATGTACTGTACATACCAAAGTATACACAAGACAAACAAATTTACAACAAACAGTTGTTGATTTTTCACAGCAGATATTTAGACTTTTTATAGTATGAAAAAGTGTCCCACTGACAGTGAGCCAGTGTGCAAAATACCAGCACACTGAAACTGTAGCAGCCATCATACATTTTATTATTTACACCCATAGATTGTATTTAAGACTAGTCACTCTAGCCTGATTGACAGGTCGCCATAGTAATGACTTGTCAATCATAGATAAGGGGAGCTCTGGTCTGTACAGCTGCACCTTCTCTCCTGGGAATAAATGTGGAGCAGTTGATATACACCCAGCAAGGCACCATGGGACTGCACGGTATCTAAGACTTGCTTGTTGGGCCTGATTATGTTTGTATGAGTGAGTAAAGCAGTTTAGAGTCACTAAACTCAAGACGGTGCAGGGTGTGTGCTCGTCACCCTGTGTGGAAAACGGTTTGACACTGTGAGCGTATGACCAGCTCGGCAGCACTAATGTGCAATTTTCACACTGTTTCAGCTGGCTCCTGTAATAAATCTTGGGGATTTGCTTCCTGGGCCAAAGATAATCCACAAGGAAGGAAGATACCTCAGCAGTTACAACATGCAATTCCAGCCACATATGAGTCAAGGAATGTTTCCCTCTAAATCACAAATTTTATGAATAATTATTATAATTTTTTATGCACCTCAAAACCACAACAGCTAATATACTATCTATCTATGACCTTAGACCTCATTTCGCCAAAATTTAATAACCCACCGAGGATACAATGAATCACACTCTTGTATCAGATCACTTACAGGCAAACCAGGAAAAGTATTTATAAGTAAAAACAGAACTGTGGCTGCAGAAAGTCCTCGGCTTGCTTAATTTTATTTCACATCAGCATTTATTAAAAAAAAGGCTTGCAGGAAGCCCCAGGTCGGGGTAACTGTAAGAAATCAGAGGCCAGACTCTCTCTTGTTTTGTGTTACTTTTTACAATGAGATGCATGTCTCTGTTCAGAGGCACTGGCTTTTGGTAGCCCTGTGGTTACTGGCTCTTTCTAAACAGTTAGGATGGGTCAAATGCAGAGGGCAGGTGTCCCCCCAAGGATCACCTCAACCTTGATCGCAGTAGTTATTTCAACTTTTCCTCATCAGGGATTGCAGACGACGCTCAGAGAAAACCAATGGACCATGCTCTGGAGTAGAATTTAGCCCTTTGAATGTCTTTCAGGAAGGATTGTCAAAGTGGGTTTGCTGTTATCCCTTTATTTGAACGATTAGTGCGTCACGCTCCTTTCTCTGACGGCAGGATTTTCACCCAGCCTTGTGGAGTCGTTTGACACAGCTAGCACTTAGGTCTTCAGATGTGGTTGAGTGAAAGCATGCTAGAAACTAGATAATTTTGAGCCCACTGTCAAGTGTGAAATGCCCTTTTAAATCCTAGTGCCATACAGGTACACTGGTGAAAGCACAATATGATACACCCTTACCGTGCAACTCCAAAATATGCATCTCTTTTTAAATGAAGTCTCTTTTTAATGATTATCTAAAACACATTATAAAGGATGCACACTAAGAGTTATTGAATCCTTCTGTTTCAGCTGTACTTGTGTGCCCTTAGAATTGAAAAATATTATATCTGCCTGAGATAAAGAGTTCTGAGATACTGAGCTTTAAAGTTCTCAGTAATCTTTGAGTTGTGGTGGCGGTTTATGTGATCCATCAGTTTTGACAAAAACATCAGATATAGCTTCAAATACCAAGGTCTCGCAGAGCACTACTACAGAGAATTGTTTTTGGTTTGTAATGCAAAATAACTGATGTGTTTAGTCTGCTGTTATTGGGGAGAAAGCAGTGGAGAGAGGGAACCTAGTGTTTAGGAAAGACATTTTTAGAGTTGTTCTGTTTAGCTAACCTAGGCTACACTGACTTCAATTTTCCTCCGGCATTCCTACTCTATGGGCTGTAAAGGTTTAGTCTCCAGCCCTCCTGCTACAGGTGTTACTCCCTTCCAACAGGGGATTTGATTACCAGACGTTAAGCCCTTCTGTTCTCTCCCTATGTTCCAAGAAGAGCTGACCTTGGCCCATAGGAAGACGCTTCTGTGTCCATGATTAGTCGGATATCCTCTCTGATGCAGTGCAGGTAAATGAAGGCACCTGGCAGAGGACCTGCAGAGTGTGAACCTACCATGACATGTGAGGGAAGCCCTCTGTTGTATTTACACTGCAGGAGCTGTCACAAGTCCTCAGGTATCAGCAGTGTCATGCTATACAAGTAAAGCCTATATAGAGCAGCTCCTCCCAAGGACCTGTAAGCCCATTTATCTCTCCATTCAGGCCAGGAGGGATTTCCCTCTGGCTCTCTGGTTGATGTTTGATTTATACAGGATACCCAAAGCTGCATTTATATACAACATAAGTTGTGTTACCAAAAAAAGTATGATTTGAAGTTATAAGTCAACAAAACCCTGGGAATCCTTGAGGAAGATACAAAACACTGCCTTTGTAAGTAGGACATAATGAATATTGTTGCTACTCTATTAATACTGCGATTGATTACTATCCCAAATTTTCATTGATGTTCCTGTAAACAATGACAGCATGTAAACAGATCATCTCCTGTGAACTGGTAACCTGGTAATGGTGTTTCCAGAGCTGAGCACACCATCTAGTGGTCAACTGGGAATAACTGTGACAGACATGCAGATGGCATTAGGATCGTGATTGTGTTTTTTTATTGTCATAAACACTCAAATAAGTTTTAGTAGTAAGCAGCAGCCGTGCAAGTTATCAAGGTTAACATTGGTAAGCCTGGTAGCAGCGGGTGTATCGTAATACAGGGATTTGGATAAAAAAGATTGGTATTACCTAAGTAAGTATAATAAAAAAGGACTCCACTAAAGTCCTCAACAACCAACTTTATTCATCAAATTCAGTTTACAAGTCAGTTCATTCTTGAGAGAACTCTTGTAGAATTTGATGGACACTGGCATTTACCAGGCAGGGAAGGTTTAACAAAAGTTGCTGTTGTTTGCATCATGGGAAATGTAGGATTCAGTGTTTTGGCCTATATTAGGGAATAAAGGTCAGGATCCATTTTAAATTTGACCTTCAAATTTTTCTATGTCTCTTGTCAGTCCACCTTTACCAGCAGTAAAATGTCCCTTACATTTCAACACTAACAGTAGCCTACTTCCCCTTACTGTAGTGTAGTTTATATTAAGAGTTTATTGTATATTTGTGAAACCTTTCTTAAATTCCTGTTTATGCAGGCACCAATTAAATGGAAGGAAAAGTCCCACTCACCTGAAAAAACGTACTTCGTTACTCACTTCTGGTATTAACATTATAGTATTTGTAGCCTAATAGTAGATTGCAGTGGCGTTTTATAGTAATGATGTTAGGTTATAGAGGAGCTGTAATGTTGCAGCTTTGTTAGTAGTATTGCAAGGAGCAATAAAAATGGTCTACACACGGTGAAGTAGGCCGTATGTGACCACATAGCTCCGTTGTGATGCGCAGCCAGAAGATGGGGTCATGAACGCAGCAATGTTGGGTCCGTTGGTTCATTCGGCTCATGGTGCGCAGGACAACCGTTTTTCTACCGTGATCTGATATGCAACTGAGTTGACTAGAGCTATACAAACTCTACAAATTCTATCCAAAATGATTCCTCAACAACAGCAGCACACTCGAAATATTATATTACAGGGTATAAAATTCAAATGAAAATCTTCGATTGTGAGGATTTTATTTTGAAAGTTTTAGTAGGCCTATGGGGTAGGCGGGTGTGTGCACTTGGCATCTCCAAGCGTTTGCGCTGTAGACGCACATCTGGAGAGCGTGTTCCCTCTGAATTTGAAACAAGCTGCCTCCTCCTCCAGCACGCGGACTAAATAGACAGTGTTCAGGTGAGTCCACTTACCGACCGGTTATCAGTCATATTTCACTCACCGGATGTGTCAGCGTTCCAGAAACAGCGTGAAGTAACCTAACCCATCGCCGTTGGATTGAACAGCCCGGTCCCGGCAGTTCCAACAGCTGGATGACGGCTGGAAACATCTGCAACGTCTGTTCCGTAGTGCGTAAAATGAAGCAGCAGCAGAATGGCTTTGCGCCGCTTGTCCAGGGTGAAACATCCTGAGAATGAAGTAAATCAGTCTGTATGCATCACAGGCTGGTGGGACGGGACAGTAGATAGGAAGCCTCTGTCTTGATTTCGAATTGCAAACTCGTGCAGGATTACCCGAGAAGATTGAAACAGGAATGAATCACATGCATTTTTCTTCTGAGGATTTGGGTTCTCTCCCTCCAAGACCACCGACTTTACCTGCAGCTGCTCCAAAGAGACGCTTTGTCAAGCTGGGAAGGAAGACAAGTGATGGCTCTCAGCAGTGAGTATGAATGACTGGTTGAACAAAAGCATGTTTTACACTGTGTACAAATGAATTCTCTGAGAGTTGTGATGACTGTAGTCTTTTTTGCCACTTTCTTCGTTCATAGAGAATGTGTTAGTCTTCTTATGCTCTCAAAATGAACTGAGAAATACATATTCTCATCTATTTTGAAGTTAAGTGGGAGACTTGTGCTTTAATTTGTTAAAAATGAGGCTTAGGTTAAATACAATGATTTGATGGAATACAGAGGAAAGGAAAAAATCTAAACACTAAACTCATTAAAGTAGCTACATTTGAAACTGTGTATAGCTATTTGAATAATGCATTTGTTTTTCAACTATAAAACACCATGAAGTACTTCCAGTAAGCTGTGTGATGTATTAACACTACTAAGCCATGGACAATCTGCTCACGTGCCATGGTATTCCATCACCGCACTTTCTGTCGCTCCACCACAGACTTCAACCAGTTTTCACTAATATTATTAGTCAGAAATATTTTTCATCCAAGTGGTGGCGTAACTGCAGAGAACCTTTGAACCACAGTGATAAGAAGCTTACAGGCTTTGTCAGAGGTAAAACAACACTTCATTATTTCATTAATGTACTGAGGGAGCTGATGGAGGCATGGTGAAGGAGACTGGACGGCATTGTGCTGGGGACAGACGCGTATGTATCATAGTGCATTGTAGCATGGTGATAGAATTTTGTGAAATCCTTAAATATTATCTAAATGCATGCATTTTCTCCACATTTTCTGCTACTCATGCTTATTTCCTACTAAATATTTCCTTTTTTCTTGTCACCATTATATTTTCTCTACTGTACTGTGTCATTCACTTTACTTTATCCTTTGCTCTTTTGTAGTTCTTGATTCTGTTCTTCTGTCTTCTGTTTTTTTCCTCTTTTACACAATTAACTTACTTACTTCCTCTCCTTTTTGAACCGTATATCTCTCCTTCCCCCATCCCTCCTTTAACGTGATGGTGAGAAACTCTGTTGGTCACTATTGGGAACCCTCCTACCTCTCCTACTGCCCTTCACTGTCTTGCTCAAGGTCACTTCTTCAGGATGGGTTTGGATCATGGACTTTCCTCAAGGACCCATTTTTATTCTCTGTTCATCAGATCCGCCTCATCCACTGGCAGTTCATCCACCGGCAGATCAGCCGAGGGTGTGGCCGTCAGGCACCCCAGCAAGAGCCGCATCCGCCGCCATACCAACCGCCTCTCAGGTGTCTTCCTCCGCGGCCCCGCTTCCAACTCAGGCTCCATGGCGCTGACAGCAGGCATCAGGTCCTCACTGTCCGTCCAAGCCAGGAAGGGAAGCAGTACGTCACAATGTCTCTACATTTCCCCCTGCATGTCTGTCCTGGGAATTTGTTGTCATTGGAGGAAATCGATCTAAGGTTGCTGGAGCTACGTGTAGAAGTGTAAAATTCATAAATCATTTAGTCACGCTGTGTTGTATAATGTCTTCTGTAGCTCTGGTAGAGCTGTCTAAAGTCTGAGACAGTAACCCCGATGATGTCATCAGGGTTATCTCCACATGGATGTAGAGACTAAAAATTTATAACAAAAAGTCTACACTGCTAAATGGGGACAAGGAGCTTGAACAACATGGTGTTTTAACATGCAGGGAGGGTCTAACAAAAAGATGCTTATAGATTGCATTATGGGAAACGTAGGATCCAGCTTTTCTGGAGCTTCAACTATCCTATCCTTAAAAGCAAGGATATCTCAGCCTGTGCTTGATTATCAGCTTTATGAAAGTGTGTGTGTATGTTCCAATTGTATAACTGTACAGTAATTCTAACCATTATTTTACTATTTCGTACATTTTCATGGGAACATGGGAACAAAAAGAATTAAATTTAAAAAGGTTTTAAATGTGGTTTTAAATTACAGTAATAATGGAAATGCAGAACTTGTTCAACTGCTATCCATCAGCGAACCTATTCTATCATTTCCTTCACTGCGAGTTTTAGTGTATATGTTATGTAAGTAGCTTTGTTGTACATTGATTGTCTTTCCTACTGGCCTTGTGGTAAATGTATGGCTGCCATCAGTGCTAATGAACCACAACTGAGAGCCAGCATCAAAACTTCTTTCCTTTGTTGTCATGCAGTGATCTCTGTAGATGCTTTAAATGCGGACGACCCATCTGAGCTGTCCAATCAGATAACCGCTCCAGGAATCCTGAAGATCTTTGGAAATGAAATCTGTGAGGGAGCTCACTATAAGAGCGTCCTGGCGACCACACACTCTAGTGCAAAAGAACTAGTCAAAGAGGCCCTTGAACGGTAAGGCCATGTGTTATCTGTGCATGTATGTGTGCATCTGCCTGCCACATGTGTCTGCTTTGTGTGTCTACGCAGGGTGAGTTACATCATGTCCATCCACATGCTTCCTCTGCTGTAATATACCTTTGTGCTAAATCATTTGTATATAAAGCAGTCAGAACAGTCCTTGATGTGCGAAACGTTGGCGGTTGAAAGGCAGGCGTGTTCATGTTGTTGGTATTAGTATATTTCCAAAGAACAAAGTCAACTTGATCCGCTGTTCTGTTTATTATAATTGCAGTACAGTGCACACAGTGTTTAAGTGTGCCAAGAAGTTCATTTAGTTGATCTGAAAAGGTCTAGAGCAAACCACAGACTTGTGTGAAAGACAGCCAGTGTTGGCCAGGGAGCTGAGGCGGCCTCTCCGTAGAGGGAATGTCCGTCAGTCTTTGCTTATGTTTCAGCCAAAAACATAATGGAATGATTAATAGAAGTGGTATTCAGCTTGTAGAGGAAAGAGTAAATCATTTTTCTTTTCCCTCAGTGAAAATTTACACTGTAACAGTGACATTTTGCTATATCATTACCAGATCTCTTATTTAGTAATGGATCAGCAAATACATTAGTCACATGGCAACATTATGATACTTGATAAGTTCATGTACTGTATGCAGATTTAATGGAATATCCATGATAAGGTGTTGCTTTGATTAGGAAACAACCCTCTGCGAGTCAGCAGATCTAAGTGTTTTATATCAAAGATGCTCTAACTTATATTTTTGGAAACCCACAGATTATCACCCGATTGCGCATTTCCCCTTAGTTCTATGAAATGTTTTAGCCTTGTTGAGTTGTGGCGTGCATTGCAGTCCACCAGAGTGTCTTTTCAGGTACTTAAAGTTGGAGTCAGCAAAGTCTAACATTTTAACATTTTACACATAGGTGCCTTAAAGTTCCCATGAAACAGAAAGTAGAGTGCTGCTTTATTTTAAAAATTAAAAATCCCCTGTGCTCCGAGCTCCCGGTCCAGGCAGAGTCATCTAAAATGACCACTAGCTGCACGGCTAATTGAGCTAACTAGATAATGGCAGCTCCTGTTAGCAGCAGTTAGAAGTTAATTTAGCTCCAATGAAAATCTGTCCATCAGGAAATTCCGTAGATCACAGAGAGTTGAGGCAGAGCAGCCGTAGGACATTAGAGGGAAAACCAGAAAATATTTTCTTCATAAAATATGGTCCCCTTTCACCCAAAACAGTGAATAAAATTGCGTTTCTGTGCAAGTGATAAAGCTAATGTTTTTGTACAGTAATCAGTGAGGCCCAGCCAGAGCGCAGGAACACTCTGCTCCGGCCGAGTCATAAAAATTGAGAAAGCTTTTCATTGGATGCTTTATTACAGTAATACACGCCACACTAAAATACAAGTAACCTACAAAACAACTTTTTTTGTCATTGCTGCTCCACATACTGGCTAATAGGAGATGTATAGCACAAGACAAGACAAACTTAAATTGATTTGGATTTCATGGAGACTTTAAGTAGACCAGACACTGCAATAAATTGTGATTTACAATGCAAGAAACTAGAAGTTTTCATAAGTACACTCATGCTTTTGGAGCTCTAAATTCATTTTGTCCCGTTTATCATTATGATGATTATATTACACCTGACTATGTCTTCAAGGTATGGCCTGGGCAAGGAGGAGGCGGAGTCCTACGTCCTCTGTGACACCATTGGCTCCATTGGCAACCATCAGTGGAGAACAGAGGGATTCAGAGTCGTGGGCAACAATGAGAAGCCCCTCCTCCTGCAGTCACTATGGAAACCCAGAGAAGGCCTGGCGAGACGTTTCGAAATCCAGAGGAGAAGCTCTGTGGAGGAGAAGACGTCCAAAGACAAAGACACCATTACTGCTGGTACAGTGTCTGACTGTAGCCTTAGGGTGCTTTAGGGACATATCATTCAATATACCACATCCTAGTTTATGGTGTCTGCATGTCCGGGAATAAAAGTTTTTGCCATTTAATAAAGTATTGTCAGTATTAAATCCAGTTTTAGAGTTCTCACAGTAAAAATGTGGTTTGTTGGCATGCTGTTTTTCCAATGAAAATCAGCCAAGCCACACAAACCAAACTATATTTTAATAGGTCTACAATTTCTTTCTTTTCTATTTCTGTTACAAACGTGGACTATTTCATTCTTAAAAGAAACTTTAAATTTCATGAACATCGCAGACACCCTGTGATTGTATTGAATTTGTTCCACTGACACACCCTTTCTTTAACACTGTTTTAACATAATGCTGTAAAAGATTTGCACAGCAAAATATCTTAACATCCACTGATATTAACAAAATATGACGCAGAACTTTCCGTCGATGCAGGAGACAAACACTTTATGGCAATGTGAATGTGCAGGGTGGACCCCTTTCTGTCATTTCTACTGGTTGTGGTTGACACAGCTGTGGTAAGAGTGTGTCCTGTTTTGTGTTTTGCTTTTATGAATGGCGCAGCTTGTGATAGCTTCTATCAGTGTCAGCTTGAGGATGCCTGCTCCGTGGGTGAACTTGTATATTATTTCCATGAGCTCTGGCTTTCTTTCCACCGAGGTCTGTTTCCTGTATGGGGCTTCTCCATGTTGACTCTGGCATAAAAACACAATGTACAAATGACCGAACACACGCAGGCTTACGCACACCTCACCATGCCTCAGGAAAAAAACGGGTGTTGCCCTATCACAATATTCCATTACACCTTAGCTTAACATGTTTATGTAGCAGCTCAATTTGCACACATTTGAACCGCAGTATTCACTCTAATTCCCAACAGTTTTGTTTGTTAGGTATCAACGCCCAGGCTAGAAAGCTGCAGAAGAGCCGCTCCAGAGTGACCTCCACCCTCATTGAGAAGACCATGGGGCGAAGCCACAAACTGTGGAGGAGCAAAAGTGAGATGGACCTCTTAGATTCTGATACAGAGACGCAGGACGCAGATCATGAGAAACGTCAGAAGGATCGAAGCGAGAGCCTGAATCAAACTTCAGTGCAGAGTTACGAGCGCCCAAAATCAAGCCCAGAACAGAATCACATTCACAGCCTCACAAATCCCTCCAAGGGGGGCGGTGGGTCGCAGGCCAAAACAGAGACCCTCTGTCATTCGAGGCTGAGAGGCGAGAGGGAAGGAGAAGAGTCAGAGAGGGAGGAGACGGAGAGCAGCGACGATAACACCACACAGTACTCCATTCACCCTCCTCACGACTGTCCATACCTGCTGTTGCTGCAGGGCTGCAGCCTCACACAGGTATCTCATTCAGACACTCCACAATACAGTTGCTAAGTAGAAGGAGATATTTTGGCGTCCCTGGTTTTGGAAGTAAAAAGTCCAACTGATATTTCCCAAAGACAATGCTACATGACTTACAGTTGAAGCTCCTCTGTGGCTTGGATCAGCATGAAACTCACAGATAAATCAGTTAGATTAAGATGTACATTAGAAAACAGCTGGGTCTTTGATAAAAAGTTACAAGAACAGCAAGTCTGTTTATATACAAACCTCAAAAGCTAACAGTGTGGAGAAAACTCCCCATTTAAATTCTGGGTGAGTGAATTCAGCTACTCAAATAAAAAACATTGCTCTGTTGGTATTAAACCCGGACCACCGTGCCAAATTTAGAGACAAAACATGACTTCTCTAAGACAAAGCTGAAATAAATTACCTGTTGGCCAAAACATAGACGTATATGATTGTTATCTTTATCTGGAAGAGTCCTGTGTTTCTCAGTTAAGGATATCATTAATCTATCATCAGAGTTTAACATTAGCAGCTCTGTCCTGCTATAAACATTAATAAATCAGAGGGAGACAGCTTTTATCTCAATTCATGGATTCAACATTAGCTTTATTTGCTAGATAGCTAGTCAGCATTTTTCACCCACCAAAATCACAGTCCTGGGCTAGAAGTGATAAGCTGCTTTTGTCTACCTCTGTCTGAAATAAAGGACCTATTGTTTCAAATATTACTAAGAATTTTGACAGTAAATCTGCTCTTGTTATCATAATAAATTACATAAGCTTACATGCATAGTTACAGTAGCGAAGGGAAGCAGGGCACACTGTCAATTCTACCTCTCTACCACCTGTCACACAAATTACTCACATGCTTGCAGGCAGATTTTGGCATATTTACAAAATGTTTACATGTGCATTGTATTACATTCAAACCACTGCTTTATGTCCTTTACTCACTGTGAAATACTTCAGAGCTGCAGCTCTAACAGCATGTTTTCTCAGTATGAAAAGAGAGACAGAGGAGAGAATCATTATGTGAAAGGTCAGCGAACTGTACATAGAAAAAATTTATGTCAAAACACTGATCAGGAAACAGAAAAAGACAACCCTGGCACTGCTTCCTGGCTGATTATATGCGGTTTTACTGGTTCTTTCTCGCACACTGCTGTGATTTTGACTCTGCGTCACAGTTGTTTTCCCAAAAGATCCTTCGTAAGAAAATAATCACCTAACATGAGAAATACTGGGCTTAGGGAGTTTATCTGTGAATTAATTTAGCTGGTTAAATCTGTCCCGCTGGAATAGACAGACATCACAAGGGGAATGTCAAACATAATAATCCCTGCATAAAACATTGTTTGCCTAATCAGGCTTGGATCAAGATTATAATTCTAATGCCTCCACATGATCAGACTGCTTTCACTGAGAGAGACTGTTGTATCGTAGCTGGTAGTAGAAGTAATAAACATGTACCATATTAAATCGAATTTCCTACGCTGTCACTGATTGTATTAAAATAACTATTCAGCCTCAATTCATTTATACATTTGCTGTTCCTATTGAGCAGAACTGTCCATGTGTTTCAAGATGAAAATGCACAGGTCACATTAAGTAATCCATCAACTCATTGGTTAATTTGCAGTGATGGCAGAAGTACTTGAATCATACCACATATCATATCATACCACAATTTACAACAATATTCCATTACAAGTAAATATCCTGCATTTCATTAATATATACGTACGTTAATATATAAGAATCATAACCAGCATTTACTCATTATACAGGTTTGCAGCTTTTACAATGTCCATTATTACATAATCTATATTATATTATTACATTAGTATTACTGATCCATCAAAGTTTAAGCAGCATTTCAGCAGGTTGAGGAGGAGTTAATTTTTACTTTTATTAAATACAATTCGGTAATCAAATCTATAATAATGCATGTTATTTAATAACTGATAGTAGCATATACATTTTAAGTAACATGTTTAATTACATTATTCAAGAAAATGAACTTTGATTTCATTTGGAATATAAGAGAAACAGAAAACAGGTGAGCTGGTTAGTTTGTAGAAGCATGGTTGAAAAACTAAAGAAAAGAATATCACAACCGGCACACATCAACATACTGGACACAATGAGTTTGAGACAAAGTCAAAAGAGTGGAAAACATCGACTCAATTGTTGGTCATTTATGTTTTTTCTCTGCACCCAGGACTTTGTCATCTATCTACTAGCTGGGCCAAACATTATCTTTGGTCAGCAAAGTGATCACGAAGACGGGTCAAAGCCTGACATCTTTCTCTTTGCCGCTGACATCCTTCCGAAACACTGCTATTTCCGTCGCAATAGTGTTGGCAGCCCCACCACGCTCTGTCCTTGTCAGGACGCCGTGGTCACGAGGAATGGTGAAGTTCTGAGAAAAGAAGTGCAGCTCAACCCTGGTGATGTCATTGGACTGGGACAGCGCTACCTCTTTCTTTTCAAGGATCCCTTAGCTTTATCCCACAAGGTAAGCGTGAGATACAGGAGAGACAGGAAAGTGAGAGCACATATGCAAAGTATGCGTTTTTTCTATCTGGTAAGATTTTCCTTAAAGTCCTTTAGTGAGAACATATAATCATACTTTATGATTCTCATTTCTTTCTTGGATATGAAGGAAGTGAACAGCGCTGCTCCTGAGCCCAGTGTGACTGCTGTCCCCTGGATGCTGGGTCACACCACTTCTGCCACTACAACAAGCCATACTAGAGAAATGATCATCTGCAACACCTGCATCACAACCTGCACTGAGCTGCAGAGCTCCAGCAGTGAACAGTCGCTGAGCAGAGGCCTTCCCTTTTTAAACTCACCTGAAGGCCGCAGTCTGACTCTGAAATATGCGAGCGAGGATGAAGATCGCATTGTCAAGGAAATAGTTGCTATGGGAGGCAGCAGCGTCAAAGACAGACCACCACTGACTGTTGCATTTTTGCTGTGTCTGTGTGTTCAGTATTCGGCCTCATGTCTTCATACCTCAGACCTGCGCAGGCTGCTGTTGCGCATTGCAAGTGGAGTTCAGAGTGCCATGTGGGTGAGTTGTGGTGAGGAAAAGAGACATGCTAGTCTTTTAGGAGGTCCTTTTCACACACCAGCATTTGAAAGGGTGACATGTTACTTATTGTCCCTTTAGCAACAGAGGTAACAAGCTTGCTAACGGATAGCTAGGTTTGCCAGTAACTGACAGTTGACAGGTTCAACCTGAGAGGCAATAGCTGTGTTTCCACCACAGGAACTTTGCCCAGGGACTATGAACCTTTGGAGGAACCAGGCACATTACTTTACCCCACTCAAAAGATACTGCTTGGGTGTAGTACTGTCCAAATGTACAGGTTTGGGGGTGGGGCTTGCTGCACCGAACATTTGTTATTGGTCAAGTATTCAAGCCACCGTTCTTAAAAGTTTGCAGCCACAAACCTGTGTGTTTTTTGTTAATTGTGCTTTGACACATCGACATGGAGTTACAGCACAAGAAAGCACACAACCTCTTATACAGTCAATGCACACGACAGAGGGACCAACAACAAAGTCCAGGCCTTACGGGGCCTTTATGCTGAGGATCAAGGGATTGGAAACAGCGACCCGCAATAATAAGGTGTACATGCTAAATTTTCCTGAAAGTTAAAGGTTCAGTGTGTAATATTTCTGAGGATCTATTGACTGAAATGCAATATAAGATCCATAACTATGCTTTCAGTGGTGTATAAAGACCTTATATAATATTAAATTCCAGGCAGAGGACATTTAGGAGAATCATGTTTTCTGACGGCTATTTCAGAGGTGTGTCAAGCAGGCAACAGAATCTTTTAGTACAAGCACAGTTCAACTCCAAATACTGCGTTACAGTAAACAAGCTTCTTGTGCTTTTATTTTGTAGGCAAAACCACTAAAGAGGAAGTGATTGTGAGTAACTGTTGCTGTCATGACTGAGATCTATTTCGGTACCCCTATCAAAGTATTTATTTTTATTTCTTGCCGCTATCAAAGCACCATAATCTGGCAGCGGGCCAGATATTATTGTTGGCAGGCAGTTTTGGCGATGGTTCATTATCACAGGAGAATTAATGTGTTTCCCTTGTCAATGTTTGTATAAACTTTATCTAATGTGTGGTTTATAATGGACTGTGGTGCAGGAACAGTGACAGTGTTTCACTGTCTTGGCTCACATTTTCCATGTTATCTGTCAGTGGCCAAGTCGCAATAACATATGATTTTACTAAATAATTAAGTAAATATAATTTCTTAATAAATATACCTAAAGAAACCTCATTTCTTGAAGGGCCACTCTCTGCTGTCTCAGAAGAGACACCTTTTGTGCTGTGTCAGCCACCGTAGCTGTCCTACGCTCTTTGAAAGGGTAGGGGGCAGTGGTAGACTCGAAGGTTGGTTGCAATTCACAACCCTCACCACTAGATGCCACTAAATCTTACACACCGAACCTTTGATCAACCAGAACGTCTGTCACCAGGCTTGCAGAACCACATATTTTGCAAAGAAGCACAGATTTTTGCTGTGCCACTTTCTAATGTGACCAGGCCTACAAGGGCTAAAGGCTACAAGGCCAGCATTTGTACCTAATCTTCAAGTTAGGCCTAATCTGTCTTGTGGAAGGGCTCTAAAACCTTTACTATTTCCGTTTATATATTGCTTACATGGTGCACATTATTAAAGGAATTTGTGTTTAATCACCACAAATTAACTAAAACACAGCAAACCTGGGGCAACACAGTATCTCTGAGGTTCTGGGGGAAAATATATAATGAAGCTGCCATTTGTAGTTTGCTGTGTGCAGTTCATCTAATGGTTACTCAAAGGCAATACCATACATACACAATACCACAGTAAAAAGCTCTTTAAATTCCATTTGAAACTGCAGCCTTGAGAATTTTCTATCATCTGTTTCAAAGTTGTAGTTGTAAGCCAGTAAGTTAGTAAAGCCACTGAGGATTTTAGGCTGCCAGGTCCTTTAAAACTCACTATATAGACTTATGATTTTTACTTAGAATGGACCTTTTTGTAGTTTATTCTTTCTTCTAAACATCCACAATTTTGTAAAAACAAAGGTTGTTACTATAATATTGCCACAACATTTGGATGCACTCACTGCAAAGCCTATTTTTGTCATGCAGGAGCACACTAAGGACCTAGCTGCAGTTCAGCCTGAAGTGTAAGCACATTATACTTTTATTCTTCAGCAATCAGTTGTATTACAGTTCACAGACTACACTGAAGAGCTTGTCTTCTGTATTGCAGCCTCAGTGGTGAAGGCTCAAACTCAAAGGACCCCAAGGCTCTCAGTCTGCACGAGGTGATCTCAGGACTGTGCCCCCTGGTGGTATGGATGTCCAACTGTCTGGAGCTGCTACAGTTTATCCAGTATCAGTTGCCTCTTATTTTGGAGTGGAGAACCCGAAAAGAACAGGGGAAGGAAGACGAAGACGAAAGAGAAGAAGGGGAGAACAAGGAGGTGGAGAACTTGGGTTAGTCACCTGTTGAGTTTTGAATTTGATCATGCGACCATACGTAGGATCAAAGCTGCACTAAGTTTTAAGATTTTTAAATATTACCTGTTCTATCAGCTCAAATCATCACCATGATAACACAGATTTGCTTTTCCTGCTCAAAGTAATTTGTGATCTGGGGATCCCTACAGCATAACTACACCTGTATCATTTATAGATATATGCGTCCTATTGGAGTTACGTCTGTCCTGTGTCCGTTCAGCCAGTGAGGAGACGATGGCTGTCCTGGAGGAGGTCATCATGCTCGCCTTCCAGCAGTGTGTGTACTACATCACCAAGGTGAGAGGATGATCAAGCACACAGCTATAGCACACACAGGATTTACATTGACATACTGTACTTTATATCCTTAATAGCCCATCAAGCCACACTTTTGTGGCAAAGACAAGTAATATATAAATTAGTTCTCCACTGTCTTGCATGGGAAGCTAAACATCTGAACATCTACCTCACCTTCGTCAGCCAGGCTTGTGTAAGGGCTCCATCTGTTCCTCTCCTCTCCCAGATGATTATGATGTGTAGGCTAAGAAAATAATCAGAGACGGGTTGAGAATAAAGAGCCCAGTTAGCCACTCTGACAGGTTTCTAATAGACCGACCAGCCACACTGCTAGACCACACTGGGGCATTAAGACATGGGAGAGAGACAGGACACCAAGGGCCTTTGTGTGTGTGTATGTTGGGGGAGGATGAAGGAGATCTCTCAAGTGCTGCCAAGGAAGCTTTACATTGCAACCTATAATCTTTCAAATGAAGCGTAAGGCATGTTTTACTTTAAAGGTATAATTTGTATCATTTTTGCATTAAAATGTCTGAAAACGACTAGACCGTTTTTAATCTATAATTTTATTCAAGGTAACGGGGCGTTTCATTTGGTTGTCTGTCACTGCCATCGCTACCCCCTCTAGTTGCTATCACTTCCAGGAAAACACGGGATATGTCAGAAAGTGAGGAAGGAATCGGTGAACATGACTAAATGCAACGTAAATTAAACTTGTATTCATTACCGCGTCTGTGAACATGATTACGTCAGATAGATTTTCAACCGCAATGGTGGACACAACAGCTCCCCACCCCCCACCACAACTGGTCGAGGCAGATGGCCGCCCCACTGAGTCTAAGTTCTGCTCGAGGTTTCTACCTGTTATAAAGGAGTTTTTCCTTGCCACTGTCACCAAGTGCTTGCTCGTGGTGGAAATTTTTGGATCTCTGTAAATATTACAAAGAGTATGTGAGAGACCCCTAGAGGCAGAAATACTGCACGTTTTAAAAAGAGTGAGAGAAATAAAAGCTGCAAAAGGGAAGATGTACTTTAGATTACATGCAGTGCGAGACTGGTCGCTCCCACTGTTAAACCCAGAGAAAGATCACTCGACTCTGCAGTCCCCTTGTTTTGGTTTTAGTAGTGGAACTTTGAGCTGCTAATGAGACATTTCTCTCAGCACTTATTGGAGGCAAGAGAAAGCTAAAAGGAGAGACAATATTGGACTTTTGTTGGGTGGCCAAAAACAAGACTCCAAAAAATGCTAATGTTGCTAACATCTGCTTGAAGTGTGATTAGGCAGCTGATTGCTAAGATGTTAGCTGTAACAACTATTATGTCAAAATGGCTGTACTTGTGGAGAAACACACTGAGCTGCAGCACACACAGTGACAAGAGGTCCACCTGCTACTTTCCCGTCCACCCTCCCTACTGAAATGTGCACAGTTAAAACGTTACCACTCTGAATCATCTTGGTCCAGTCTAGGTTGCGAAGCTGTGGCCTTTACTACAAAGAGTTCAACCTACTCAGAGTTAACTCTGGGTTATCAGGCAAACTCAGGGTTGACAAACTCTGACCGCCTACACTGGAGTTAAATGGTACTACAAAGGTGGATAAGAGTTTGGTTAGTTGAGTCCGTGTTAACTTAATTGGAGCTGGTGCGCGTTTGCATAAAAGGGGCGTGTTCGGCCGTGCAGGCAGCGTTTTTTCGCAACGGCGCATGCTCCGTATTTCTCCAGAGGAATGCACATTGGTAGTGTCAGGAAATTGTGAATGTAAAGACAAGTTAACGGCTAAATCTAATATCGTGGCGGACGACAAAGCCAGGGAGGCTTGTTCGCATCGCATTTAGTAAATTAGTTACCTAATTATCTTCACAGTCTTCTTATTGTAGATCTAATCTCTATTATGTAGGCTATTTTATGGGCTATTCTTTTATGTGTAATATGATTAAGATGTAAAGGTACAACTGCACAGAAGGTCCATTGTAATGAAAAAAGGAGCCAGTGGAGAGGGGGAATAGACAAATTTATTTCCAGGATTAATCTACAAGTAAAACACATGAATATTCTCTGACATTATAATCACAAATTTATGAAAGAAACTTCACTTTGTAAGGTTGCAACATCATACACGTCTGCAGTGTAGTATGCAGTAGAAAATTATATTATTACATTAGATTGCAATCGGATTTAGCAGTGATGAAATAGGCTACTTCTTTCATACACCTTAGAGACTTTGCCGTGGATTGGGCGTATTCAGAAGAAAACACCAGAGTGATTTTCAATTTTTGATGACATGAATTTCCGATTTTTCTTCTTGTAAAGTTCAAATTTTTTTTCTCGGTTATTAACCCCCGACCCTGGCTCCATATTTTTGCGACATGTAAAATAATCTATCTAAATATGTGAAAACACTTAGGAGAATTCAATTATAGACTACAGATGGGCTACATCTAAGAAACTATCCATCCATCCATCCATCGTCAACCGCTTATCCTGCGTACAGGGTCGCAGGGGGCTGGAGCCAATCCCAGCGTACATCGGGCAAAAGACAAAGTACACCCTGGACAGGTCGCCAGTCCATCACAGGGACACACATAGACTATTGGCTAATAGTCCTTACCTAAGTACTGTGCATGTTCAACTCCTAACAAAGATCTTATACAAGTGAGATGCTTCACTCAATAGCTTAAACGGAGCGTTCAACACACAGGGTGAAAAGAGGAGCTGCGGCAATGTACGGTACAAAAATATGATGTTTTTTGAAGATGAAACCATGTAAACCTGTTCTGGTACAGCAGAGCGTGAAATGCTGTATTTGGTTGTGCAAAGTTTTGTATCGTGCTGTATTCTCACAGTGTCACTTGGGAAAAGAGGAACAGGCGCTTCACTGGAGCCAGACTGTTCAGTTGTGTGCAGTTTCACTGAAGCACCACACCCATCACGTGGAATTGTGCTGGGGAAATTTCAGACAAATTTCCAGTTAACTGTGTGGGTGTGGATAAAAACACCATCCAAAAAATACTAATGAGCAGATTGGCCTATTTACGTTCATACAGTGACATCTAACTTGTTCCTTTTTAACATATCTTAGCTGAAAGCTCAGCTGCATGTCCGCTGTCTGCACAGCCCCTCCAATGACCTGGATGCTCCAAACCAGCACAGCCCAAAGTAAAAGGAAGGCATGTCAAGTACTGAGCCACATCAGAGATCGCGTTAGCACAGCCCTGGTCTCACAGGCTGTTAGCGGCAGCCAAGCCAAGGTCTCACATGTCCAGCCAATTGGAATTCAGATGGACTTTGTGCTTGATGTGCCACGTTTGAGGCGTCTTCTATGTTAGTTTCCCTACAGGAAGGAAGTCAGTGATATGACATTGTATCTCTAAAGAGGAGAGTTTAGAAATTCCTCAATAGCAAGTCGCAAGATTTTGACAGCAAAGGTTTTGCTCAGTGCAGGAGGATGTGGTTATCTAACTACCTGCCTCAGACAGCATTTATTTCTCCCAGCAAGTCTGTCTGTCTGATGAACCAAATGACTTCCAGATGTGGTTTGTCAGTAAATCCAGAAATAATCCAGAAATGTAATACAGTGTGTTCATGGAGTTTGAACTCACAGGATCTAATTTAAATTGTATGGTCAATTGACACATTGCATTATAGTCTGAATTCTGCTGTCCTGACAACTTACAAGTTCAGAGATTTCCTCTCATGGAGACAGGGGTTGGGTACCAGGTTCAGTATAACCAAAATGTTAAATGATGCAGCTGTGGAATCTCTTGATTAAAATTGCAGAGGATAGAATAAATAAGAAGGTGTTTATGTGGAATTGGCTAAATCACTCACTTCTCCGTGCGCTAAAGAAAGGAAGCCGATATGCTGTATATGTACAGGAATAATTGTAAAGCCGTTAAAACTAAGCTTTTATTTGCAGTTACTTGAAACTATGTTATCAAAGCCAAAATTAAGGACATGCTGTATATGTATATAAAAAGAAACATCTGGCCCTGATTCATACCATATGTTACGCCTTATTTATCTAGAAGCCAATGATCTTTAGTTGCACATTAGAGAACTGGTGTTGGATTTCTCCAGAATTGCTACTGCATCTTTATTCCTCATTAAAAAAGACTTCCAGAGCCAGAGTACAGAGCCAGGGATGTGCACAAACACCAGAAGTTCTTTCAGTGCACACAGATCGGACAGCTGTGAGGAGATCTTTGCCAAATTTCCAGACAAACGTGCATGAGACAAAATGCATAATTTTGGTGAGCAGATGATCACCGATGGGAATGACGGTGTGTTTAAGTTAGCTAATTGTGTCGCAAAAGTGTCGCTTTGAGAAGAAGGAAATACAGATTATTTAACCTTTCTGATTCTCCAGTATCATCCAGCATACGTTTTAACAGCTATTTATAAAGTTTGTTGATGACTGGTCTGTAAGGTTGTCTTTATTTTTGAACTTAGTATGTATTGTTTGGAAATGTATTAACAGAATTCTCAATCTCATTTTTTTACTTATGTCATGTCATGCCATGTGACCTGGACACAAATTGTGTGCAGGACAATAATAACAGCCATGCTGATGCTTTGAGCTAAATGCTAACATCAGCATGCTAACATGCATTACAATGACACTGCTGACATGCTGAACATTAAGCATAATGTTTACCATGTTCACCATCTTAGTTCAGTGTGTTAGCATACCAACCATTTGCTAATTAGCACTAAACAAAGTCCAGCTGAGGCTGATGGGAATGTCATAAACCAAAGTATGATGATTTCTTCAAGCGTTTTCAGATTAAGTTGGCCTAGTGTGGACATGGTGTCAAGTTCGTTCTTGGTCTTGCCAGTTTTTCTTACCCCAACCACAGCCTGTTCACTCTGCTGCTGTCTGGCAAGTGATACAGAAGTATCTGCTGCCATACCACCAGACTACAGAGCAGCTTCTTTGCCCAGGCTCTGAGACTCCTCAATTCAGCCTCTGCACTTGTTTTTTTGTGTGTAGCATGAAGGGACCACAGTTTGCATTTCGTTGTACAACGTTGGTTTGCTTGATCAATAAATGAACCTTGAACCCAGGCGTGCCATGCCATCCATCATGACTGTCACCTCACAGCGAGCGCACATCCTTTCCTGGACTGACAGACCAGAATTTGTGAGGAATGTGGTCAGGTCACCAGTGTCAAGCTGAGGAGTAACCTGGCTAAGGCCTGATGATGGCCTAATGTATCTATCCTGTCCCTTCACCAGTGCAGTGAGTTGACCTAGTGATTAATGTCATTGCTTACTGCAGTGTAGCCAGTCCGACCCAGGGTTCAGATTGTGATTTGAATGATCCAGGGTGGAAAAAAGGAAGACTGAGCTGAACATTTTTTGCCCTAGCGCATCTTTTTCTTTTACCTTCCATCCAACGAGATAAAAGTGACACAAACCCTACTATGTAGAGAACAAAATCATATCTAAATCCATTTTCTTAAATTGTGTTTATTTTGGGGTCTCATCCATCCAATGTGAGGGTAATTGCTGCGGGAAGGCGCCACTGGTGAGCAGCTATTCCAACTGAAGGCATATCGCTTTAACGGGCTTGTGGGCAGACTGTGTGTTTATTTGTGCATCACAATGACAGCACAAAGAAGCACAAGACAACACACTTTATTTTTTGACTCTGGAAGAATACATGCCATGGATGCATGTGGTAATCCCAGAATGATTGAATCCTCTCTGGCTTGGCTCTGCTGAGTGACATTTTCCAACCAGAAACACTGCAAGATTATTTGGCTCAATGTTTAACCCATTTCCATTGTCTTGTGCGATAGGAGCCGTGGCTGTTGCGCTCTCCTGTTCATGCTGGCTGCGGGGCCTTACAGTAAATGTAAAATGATCTGCTCAGGGTGGATTCCTTCAGAACTCTTCACTCAGCAGCCCTGCTGCAGCGCCATGCCAAGCCCACATGAGCCATATTCAGCTTTTTTAGGAATGTGGATCTATGGCTGGCGCTGGCCTCGAAAGCTTGGTGGGTGTAAGACTGAGCTTGGAGGGGAAGGGGGATGTCTGTGTACAATTAGCCCGAACAAAGCTATCGTTGTCCGGGCTCGCTCTGAAGAGCAGCAAGGACCTTTGGCTGGAAAGGAGGAAATGTTACAAACTCTGTCTCTCTTATTCCTCTGTCTAATAGCGTCAGCTATGTTTCAGTGTGAGACACTCAGTGAGATAGGCATGCAGAGGCAATATGGGTGGTCTGAAATCCAGGGTTAGACGTTTACATGTTTTAGTTTATCCCAGTGATCAGAACATCCACCACACAACGTTAACTTTTCCAACCTCAAACTGACCCACAGGAATTTTCAACCTCAAGTTCCACATGGATGAGTGAGTCACTCTCACACTGCTTTATTCTGCTTTCCTTTATTCAACCCATTCTGTTATGTCAGGTCCTGTACCCCGTCCTGCCGGGCCTTCTGGACTGCAACCCTTTTAGGGAGAGTGCTGACGTGCAGGTGAATGGCGAGAGTGCCCGGGTCCTGGATAGCAGTGGACTGCAGATCCCTGGTGAGATCCAGCATCTCGTGGAGGTTCTGACCGAGACCCGGAGACTACTGTCGGATTTTCAGGTCCACCCGGAGATTTCGTCACAGCTCATTGGCTACCTCTTCTACTTCATCAACGCATCACTCTTCAACTCACTTATGGAAAGAGGTATCAATGCGTCAGTGCCTACGCAGAAGAGTGTGCAGGCTTAGAGTCAGTGAAGGGTAGACTCACTCCCCCAGCCACTTTTCCAGGCTGATAATTGTTTATGACTTTACATTTCTGAACATATATCACTTTTGTGGTCCTTCTGGAGGTTACCATTTGTACACCCTTCTAAATACCAAAACACACACACAGATGGATAGATAGATTTTCTTCCTTTCAACCCATCATTAACTTATAAGTCATAAAACATATAGTTAGATTTTTTACTGAGGTTAATGTGCTAGAGTTTTTGGAGTGCAGGAAAAACAGTTTATAAAAACTAAACTTTTTAAAACTATTATAAACTATATTGCCTGTGTTTTAGAAGCCTGGGTGGTGGGGGGAGGGGGTCACGACATGCAAAAAACAACCTCATCCAGACTCAAACCAGTGACATTGCAGTTGCAGGGTCAGTGTTTTATGTATACAGATTTTCTGGAACGCTGTAATAATGCAAACACCTCACAGAAACAACATAACTCCCAAGCAGAAAAAAAATATTAGTATTGTTGCTGTAGACCTGAAGGCTGATCAACCCAAGGAAATGAACAAAAAAGTGATTTTAAAGATGACTGTCTCCTGATGTTTGCACAGGCTCTGAGCCAGGTTTCTACCAGTGGTCCAGAGGCGTACGCATGCGGGCCAATCTTGACATGCTCCTGGACTGGGCCCACGCGGCTGGACTTGGGGGACTGGCCTTGGAGCACACGCACAATCTCTCGTCGGCTATCAATCTGCTGGCTACACCCAGAAAGAATTTACTGCAGGTAAAAGACACGCACATTTTACACATTCAGCAGAGTTGGGTTTATCCAATATAAATAATCACCAGAGACATAACAGGCTGAGGATTTAGTGATGTGATTTCTGCAGAGTGGGCAAAAAATGATATTGTATGTGTGTGTGCAAATTGTACAGTTTTATTTTACGTATTTCATAGAAAATGTATATAAAATCAACCTTTGTCCAGTTAAAACAATAAAAACAGTTTATAGTAAATAATACATATATTTACAAAACAATTAGTTGAAAACATTACATTTATTTATAAAGCATTATTATTATTAGAAAATAATAAATTTATATATAACATTTCCAGTGATGTGAAGGTGCATGTCAGGCCCAGTCCCATGCCACTGATTGAGCTGCATAGGTCCAGCCCCTGTAGAGCTATGAGTGGGGCAGTCACAAAAAGATTGTTTCTTTTATATGAATGTGGCTATTCTTTAACAAAAGCATTACAATTTAGGAAAGAGTAGCGTTTCTTTTACATAATAAAAGCCTAAGTAAAGTCTTCATTCAACAAATACATGCTTGTATTTGACTGAACACAAATAAACTGAAGGTTTGATCTGTGTGTGTGTGTGTGTGTGTGTGTGTGTGTGTGTGTGTGTGTGCATGTAGACATCTTGGGTGTCCTTGCGGTCTGACTACCCTGCCCTGAGTCCTGCCCAGCTGTACCACCTGCTGAGTCTTTACAGCCCAGCGTCTCCCTGCAGACACACCTGGAATCCATCTGTTCATGACCAGGCTGCGGCTCACAAAACAGGTGAGAGGTCAACATACTGGTCAACTATTATAGATACCTTAATTTACTATACCAATTATGAATATGATTATTTGCAATATTTTGATATACAATTTTTTTGCAATATGTCACTTCTTTTCTCAGCTGATATCCTGGAGAGTTTTGACACCCACCATCCTCTGGTGCTTCCAGATGTGGGTTACCAGTTCCAACTGGGAAGGGAGGTAAAAGATTCTGCCCTGAGGGAAGAGCTGGACAAGCTGAAAGAGCTAATTTCCACCAATTCTGACTCAGTGTCTGATAAGGTAACAGCTACTCAGCAAAAGGTACAAAAATGTCATTGTTACGTGATGCATGGAATAGGTATACCGAACACTAAAAATAATTCTGAATAGTTGGGACATTCAAATAATGCAGGATTTATGCTTGGCTGAGGTGTTAAAGTTGGCATATCGGGAGCTGATGGCATGACTGAATAAAAAAAAAACTAGTGCTGGGCAACGATTAAAATTTTTTTCCGGTGCGCGTGTTCACTCGCAAAGACTTTATTCGGTTAAAAACTTGAAATGACGTTACAAGTCGTGGTGGATATTTTACAAGCACAGACCAGGTAATGTTAAAGCAACATTGAACACAGGGTGCGGATGTGTGTACTCAGAGCCAGTGAGCAACGGACTTTCAAACTAATAATAATAAAATAAAAACTGCATTGACGTGCGATAAAATACTTAACGTGACCAGCCCTAAAAAAACACTTGTGAACAAAAGACAACACTGCAGGGCTTGCTTCTCCTTCCTCTTTTAAAGATCTAGCATAGGTGTATTGCTGTCCATAATCACTTCACCAGAGAGCTTTAAATGTAAACAAGATTAATAGTCTTCAGCTATGCTTAAAGCTGTGTGAGGCTTTACATTGGCACAGTGGTACTTTGAGCTAAACGCTAACTTGAGCATGCTAACAACTGCCATTTGGGAAAGTACTGCTGAGGCTGATGGGAGTGTCATTAGTTTTGTAGATAAATGGTCATAGAATGAAGTATTGGAGAAATAACAATGCTGATCTGACAATGGTGCTAGATGAAAAGTAAAGGGTTTAAAATTATTATGTATATAAATAATTTGCCACGAATGCCAACCTCATGGTGGCACGAGTGAAAAAGATATGGGATCACCAAACTAATTCTGATTCATCCTCTGTGGACCATTAAGTCTGTACAATATTGCCTGGCAATCCATCCAGTAGTTGTTGAGACATCCTGTTTCACTCTGGACAATAGTGGTAGACTGAACACTATAGTTTAACCGCTCATTAACGTTAGCGCTCTTCCACTGATAAACATGGTTAGCTATATTTGTGGATAATCTAATTTAGCAATGGGCAGCGTTAGCTGCTATAAGCGATGTTAGAGATAGAAGTGATGAACTTGGGAGAAATTATAGGACCGTTCGCTAAACTGTTTCAGAAATAAATCTACAATCAAGTCTGTGAGCAGCATAGCCTCACCCACTCACCAACTGTAAAATTAAACACACTGCTGTGACCTCGGGAGGAAGCCAAAAATTGGAGGGTTAGCAAGTACGGTCATCATGATTATTTTCTGGAGAGAAGAAGTGATGGCTTTTACAAGCTACTGGAGGTCAAACTGCTGAAAGTTAGAAAGGTGTCAGAACACACAGTGCATCCACAGTAGAGTCCATGCCTCAGTGGGTCATGGCTGTTTTGGCAGCAAAAGGGAGGTGTACATTATGACCAGCAGTTGCTCATAATCTTATGACTGATTAATGTATAACAAGTTGGAGATTTTCATTGTTTTATACTAGTAGCAGCTAATGCTGTAGCAGCTAGCCTCAAGCAGAGTTGAGGAGCGGGCTACAGAGCTCCCCAGGCCCAACCGACGTTGACTCAAGTGACATCACTGGAGGCAATTGCTCAGACTTTACACAGCTCCCTCTGGAGCCACAAAAGGCTTTATAAAACTTTTTTCACATATGCAGTGATACTCCCCGAGTAGTATGGGTGGGATTCACCAGAGGCCCCACGATATGATATTATCACGATACTTGTGTCACGATACGATATTATTGCGATTTAAACATACTGTGATATTTTTCAATTTAATACCTTTTTTCCAACTTCAAATTGTGTCCCCAAAGGAAAACTCTTTTTCTTGTGGACTGAAAACACAATTGATTTTATTATTACAGAACCAAAAAGTACCATTTTCATGTACAATTTATATAATAAAAGATTGATACTTGATGGACATTTATGGATACAATATTGCCTCGGAAAATATTGCAATAATATGCTGTATTGATTTTTCCCTGCACCCCTACCAAGTAGCCTACTGGAAAGACAAGCTGATGTGTAAAATTAGTAGTGTCCACATAGATGTGGTTTTCTTAGTTAATTTCATTGTTTTAATGCTTTTTGTCATCCAGGTTGGAACCATTCAAAAGGAGGCTCAACTGACTAAGATGGATCTCCTTTCAAAAGCCAGTCTGGAAACATTACCTCCATCACCCCCATCACCACCCACTCCTTCATCCACCCAGTACCTGTATGAGCTCAGCTCCTGTGGCACCCTTTTGTCTCAGAAGCTAAGAAATTTGGAGTTGCAGACCGGAGAGAGTGAGAACAGTGAGGTAAGGTGGTCTACTCTGGACCCCTCTCCTGTCTCCTCACCCCACCCAACACCCCCCCACATCATAGATCCTGCTGATTTGGGGAAGGCATACAAGAATGAAGAGATAAAGGGTGACAGTGAGACACTTCGCCGGTCCTCTGATGTAGATGCACATGATGAAGGTACAGTATAGTAATACACCATTCATGGTTTTCTACTGTTTGTCTGCAATTAAAACAAAGCTGAACATGTCTCTTATTTTCTCCTTAGGTGGATTAGTGTTTGAATGTCTGGCTGCACTGAAAGTAGACCGTTTGAAATCTGATTGCCGCAGTATGAAAAGATTTATTGAGCTAAAAGAGGAAGAGGAGGAGGAGGAAGAGGCGGATGACCATTATGATGACAGTAACGATGAGGTTTTTAGCTTGGAGTTGGAGCGAGGTGAAAGAGGACTTGGTCTTGCTTTGGTGGACACAAGGGTGAGTAAAAAAAGATTTAGATCTCGTAATACTTAAACCTTAAAGAGACACTTTACACCAGGTATGAATCCTGCCTCTGCTGACTGTCATTTTCTGACCTCGCTACAGTGATGTAGAAGTGTACTGTGCAACAGTCTTAAAACTTTCAACCAGGAAAATACTGCTGTTCAGCCTAGTATTAAGTTACTCTTTAAATGTCTGCATGTTTCTGTTTGCTGTTGTCATCTGTAGAGTCATATCCGGGCTAGCGTGTGCTCGACTAGCTTCTGTAACTCAATGCAATCTCTCATTTTGCATTTTGGTGTTTCTGGAAAAAAAATAAAATGAAATGTGTTCCTGGGGTTTACTGTCCATATTTGGAAACCACTAAAGCACTTGATTTCAGAAGTTGAAACCTTTGTGATTTCTACTTAAACAACGATTCATTTCAGTATAATAAAAAGTACAGCTGCCGTGAAAATGTACCAGTGTGGCAGCGCGGGTTCTTACATTATTGTAACTTTGTTTCATCCATATCCATAAAATTCACCATTTTCCTCTAAAGTAATTTCCCCAACTCTTTCATCTGTAATTTCTGCTGTCTAAAAATGTCTACAATGGCTGTCTACACTGTTTGGCCATCACTGTACTGCAGTTAACATGTCTGAAATATCTGGAACCCCTTAACTCGCTCATGGACTGGCTCTTTAGTCGAGCTGTGACGTTTATCTCGCAACGGTCTAGGCCAAAACAAACACGATTTCCCCGTGTTTGTTAAAGGCTGCTAAAAACAGAAATATTAAGCAACCAGACGCATGATTTTGATTTGTCCTGTTGTCTACACTGTGCACATGCCTCGCACAGCTAACTATTAAAACGTCTTGGTTAATGATTGTTGTTGGATAAGGACCTAGCAAACATTCCTAGCTTGTTCAATCAAGTCTGTGAGCAGCGTAGCCTCACCCACTCACAACAAGTTACTTATCAGACATTAGCTATACTTTGTGTTTATTGGTAATGTTAGCATTCTAACATGCTAAACAAAGAAAGCTAACATTAGACCTGCTGAACATCAGCGTGTAAGTATTGTCATTGTGAGCATGCTGATGTTAGCATTTAGATCAATGCACCATCATGTCTGCTAAGGACAGCTTCAACAGAGCTGCCAGCATGACTGTAGACTCTTAGTCTTGGGCTGAATCTGTATCCAGTTCTCGTGTTTTGGTGTTGATTTCGACATATAAGACTACAAAAATGCCCCAAAATGCACCACCATGTTTATTGGTAAGGTTATGAGAGTCACTACTCAGAGCAATGAGACTGACTGATGCAGTGGTAAATGTTACCTTTACAAAACATAGCCATACAGATGGCATGAAAAACAAATGTTAACTAAAGCAAGTTAAATTTCAGATTTAATCAATGTGGATCTCTTCTCATTAGTAGTTTATTTTGGGTCCACCCTTTGACTAATTACAAATTATTTGGTAATAGTTATTATTTTGTCTTATTTGAATGTTTATTTCAAATATGTGTGTTTTGGACTTTCTAAATTACTGCGTTTTTTTAGAAGATAAAGAATAAGAAAACATGGGTGATGTGAAAAGGGATGCTGTGGGATTAAAAAGGTTGCAGTGTGGCAGCTGTCTACAAAATCTTGGGCATCAGTGAGTCCTTGACATTTTGACCTCATCTTCCAGGACACTTCCTTGAGGGTGAAAGGCATCTTCATCCGTGCCGTGGTCCCAGACTCCCCCGCAGCGCGATGTGAGAAGCTGGTACCAGGAGACAGGATCCTGGCTGTTAACGGAGTCAGTCTGCTTGGACTGGACTACAACAGGTAAGAATGATTCAATTTCAAATCTGAGCAAAATCAGTTCAAACATTTGGGCAGCATATATATATATATATATATATATGTATATTTACATATGTCCCACCTCTTTGTCTGTGTTTTGTCTCTGTTAGTGGAAAGGAGCTGATCCAGTCATCAGGTGACAGACTGAGGTTACTGGTGGCCAGATCTGACTGGATGGCTAAGGCTAGACAGACTGAATGCTGACAGCAATTTTCTTTTTTCAAACCAAGACTGTTAATGCACCATAAGCGCACTTAAAGATGGCCATAAGAGCTTGTTGAACATTCAGTTTCAGGACATAGACCTTAATAAAAGGTTAAGAAGACAAACATGCACTATGAAATAAACTATGTCCTGCTTGAATTGAGTACCAGGTTTAAACTGCTCAGTGTAGTTTTGCAGTTTTTAAATTTACATTGTAATAGCATGATATTACTGATGTGTGTATGTGATCATTTCATTGCAAGCAGTTTATTTAAACTCTTACGCCAGTGGAAGAAGAATACTTATATTGACCATTCCATAGCCTCTGTACGGTCACTGTCTCTCAGTTACACTTCTGCTTCACTAATCAAAATTGAGTCCAGAGAAGAAAGGCTTCCCACAGTAAAGTTGGTCTGATAGCAGTCTGCTGTTGGAATTACATTATTACAACGCTACCATTTGTCATTTGAATGTAGAAAAATAACAAGCACCATCTAAGGTGCAATATCATTGCCATTCTTTAGTTTATTGATTCGACTGGATAAAATGATTGGATATACGACGGTTGTTTAACATTGTAAAAAACACTTTTTTTTTTCCTTTCGGCTAGGGCTCAGATTTTATTACTGTTGCTGTATTTTTTTTCTTTTTTTTGCAAATGACCCATTTTCATGGTTAGCTCGTGTCTGTTGTGTTTCAGCAATAAATACATTTTAATTCTGTTGGTGTCATTTCCATTCACTCACACTTAAGCAATGGCTTGGTTTGGACCAGAAACAGAAACATAGTTTTAAGAAGGGACAATAACAGTGTTTATTAAACAATGGGCCCTGACCCAAAAGGGACAATTTATAGGTGGGGCGAGTTACATTTTCCAGAGTTCAAAATGCAGTGACATTACATTGCACTGCTGTATGCTTACAGCTGTATATTGCTTATATTTCACTTACTTTCTCCTTGAGTGCACTACATGCCATCTCAGTGCAAAGGTATAACATTTATTAAATTATCAGGTTATTTATGTTATGTGCATAATACATGTTCAATTGTGTTTAAATTTCCTTTAAGGGTTTTATACTGTATGTAATAAGGTGTAGCACACTCACCCTATTTATATAAAACTGACAGCATTCTCCACTGGTTGGACTGCAAATTAACATAAGAGTTTCTGTAGGTTGTTTGGAACGGCAGAGAAAAAAATCTGGAAGCTCTTACATCCTGTTTTTTTTTTCTCCAACATACCATAATAGAGTAGCTGATTAAAACATGAACTTCCAACTCAGTGTATAGTGTTTATGGTGTAACAAAGAATGACCCTTTTTGGATTGTTGTGAAAAGGTCAACAGTGTTTTAGTTATAAACCTGCATTAATATGGTCTTTCTGTACTCGGTTATTCTGTGATACACACTTCTGATAAATCTATTGGTTATTGATAATAAGATTAGTATGGCCATAATACTAAACTTATTGTAACAAAAACTGAAGTAAACCACAATCAACTGGATCTTCAGAGGTTTCTGTGCATCACTGTATGGCGGGATGACTTTCATTAAGTTTAATTTAATCCCATGCAAACTTAAATCTGACATGCAAACAGCATCAAAGTGCTCTGCTTCTTCCAGAAGTTGGTTTTTGCAGTCTCCCGCAATTCCTGAAACACACAAAAAGAGAAATCATAATAAATACAGAATAAAAAATTAAAAAACATCCTTTTATATGCACCAAAGAACATCTCTTTTTAAGAGAGACCAACTTCACCCATACAAACGGGGCTCAGGAATGTTAGCTGCCCATATAGAGCGTGCGGTGCGGTCCTCCCTACTTGACTTACGTAAATGAATAATCATTCATGCAGCACACCTGGACACACCACCTGTCACTGAACAGAACTCTGCCTCACTGCCACTGATAATTGCCTCCTCGAGTACTATCTCTACCCGTCGGCATTTTACTCTGTCTCTTCCGAGCGCTGTTCAAAAGACTTTTGATATTAACGATAATGCGTGGATTTGTCATCCACACAGAAATCCTAATAATCTCTTAAGGATTAACACAAATACACAAATTCCAGCAACAAGTATACACTTAAAATAGCACTCTTCAATGTGAGATGTCTGTGAAGGTTCCCAGTCATCCAGGTCATAGTTATCCAAGTCCAGTTGCCCTTGACCTCAACCTTAGTTGGACTTCAATGTGAGATCACTTTCAAGTAAGACTTTCATTTTAAATGATTATATTTTGTCTGCAAATCTAGATATTATGTTTTTAACTGAATCCTGGTTGCAAACTAATGACCATAGTCAGCTGGCTGAACTGTGTCCTCCTCAGCATGATAATTTCTGCCAACCAAGAGTCCGTAGTCGTGGTGGTGGTCTAGTGAGTGTGAACAGGAAAAACTATAAATGTCATCACGTGATGAATTTGCCTCATTTAAAGTTCTCACTTTTAAACTTGGTGGCCTGCAACTGATCATATTTGCTAAAATTTATAGTCCCGCAAAAACACCTGGAGGATTTTAGCAAAAATTCCTGAACTTTCATCTACTCCTACTACTTTGAATTATGACAGAGGTGTTCTTTGTGGCAGTTTTAATATTCATGCTGATGACCCCACCAAGGTTCATGCCACCAACGATCTGGCTGACCATTTCAATCAGATTTGCTTGTCCTCATTAAACATTCTTGCACCTATCAAGGTTAAGTCTGCAGCTAGTATGCTGCCCTTGAAGAACAACAACATGTGCAGCTTTAAAAGGGAATGCAGAAAAGCAGAGTGCAGATGGAAAAAATCCAGTATCAAAGTTCATTACCTCAGTATGAAGGACTTATTATTAAACTACAATAACATGGTTAAGGATCCGAGAACACACTATTTTCTGAACTCATTTCTACACCTCATTTAATCCTAGATTTCTATTTAAGACTGTGGATCAGCAAGTAAATCCAGTCCATCCTTGTGCCTCAGCTGAATGTGTTGATGATTGCGAATTGTTTTTATCTTATTTTACTGATAAGGTCAATTAGAGCCTCTGTTACCCAATCAGCTTTTTACTCAAAGGTCCCATAGGGGTTTTATCCCATTGACTTGCCTGAACTTTTAAAAACAGTATCACAAATGAGTGTCTTCCAGCCCAGTCTTTCCTATCCAAGAAGAATAAAATATTAAAACAAACACATAAATTAATATATTGTAGAAATAACTACTTAATAAATATATATATATATATATACATTTATATGTAATTGTTTAATTTAATTCAAGTCTGCCCTTTATTCATTTTTATTTTATATTTTGGTTTATTTAATAGGATATTTTATTTATTCATTGAGCATTTTTTAATTTCTGTATTCATTTTCGATTGTGTCAGACATGGTCCACTATATCCAAGAGGCTCTGCTGCTTATCTCAAAGGCTGCAGTTGGTTTTATAAGCCTGAGAAACAACTGGACAAAGCCTCGGAAAAGAGCTAGTATACTAGTTAAGGGGCTATCTGCTGAACAATAGATGAGGTTAAATGAAGATGTTGTATGTAGTTTTTTAGATGGTCCATACTGCTGCCAGTCCTCGTTTTGTTTCTATATCCTAATCTTCTTTTTCCCCCTTCTCTCTTGTTTCTTTTTCCCCCATCTCTGTTCTCTGCTCCACTCTCTCTTCCTCTCTCCAAAGTAGCCTACAGCTCCAGCTGCACCTGTCACCATGCTTTTGGAATGACATGTGCAGACTACATAATGGGCACTTTATGAGGATACTCATTGTAAAAGCCTAAAAATTTGACATTAGCTGCTGTTTGCACTCGTCAGGTCACCATTGTAGCAGTCTTGCTGGACAGCGGGGCCTTGCTGCCCACTGTGGTTGCACCGGTGGCCTCGCTGGCAGCAGGGGCCTCACTTGGAGGCTTTCTGGGGCCCTCACTGACCGCTGTTGTCTCACTGGGGACCTCACTGACCGCCTTGCTGGCTGCCGCAGCCTCGCTGGTCTGTCTAACTTTATTTCAACATGACAGAACAAATATTCAATTCTGACTGCATCCATGATGTTATAATACTATAGGTATATATATATATATATATACCTTCACTTCAGAGGAGTCAGTAGTCCTTTCTCATTTCATAAGCACAAACCTGTACAAAGTGTATGATAAGCGTATATAGGGACTTTACTGTTGTAAACAAACTGTTACTGTAACCTTAATCTGGATTATTTGATGATTCATATTGTTGTTGGCAGAAGAGAAAATAATGCAGTGGAGTGGAGAGCACAGCAGCAGAAAGAGCAGCGTCATCAAATCTGTCATCAAGAAAATGATCAGTACATCTCTGCAGTCTTTTCATTTTAAGTAACTTCAGGAAGATATTTTTATGTGTAACCGTCATTATAATGAATGAAATCAAAAAGAATTTATGTGAATTTTATTAAAGTCAGAGTTTCTGCTTGTAATCCACCCCGACCTTATCTGTCTGACGTCACACAACAGTGGCAGCATCCATAGAAGTGCACATTGCAAATGGTAAACCATAAACCAAAAGGCAATGTAAAGTATATTTGCCTGTGTTTAATTAAATTAATACATAAAATCATAGTAAAAGCTGGTCTGTATGTAAATTGATGTCAACATATGCCACCATTAATATTTATGGTAAACAATCTCTGAAAGTCATCTTCTCTGAACAAGTTATTATTGTTATTATTATAATTTATTCATAATTTATATATAAGTTATTGAGATCAACTTTTGCTGTTGATGATGATGAAACGTTCACCCTCATCAAGCTGAGGCCTGAAATGATCTCCTGTTCACAGGCAAAAGGCACACAGCCGAGGCCAAGAGAGGAGGTACACACTGAGAAATGAGAAACGCCTGCTGACTTTTCAATATCACTAGATGTTGTTTCTAGAGCAGCAACAGCAAAGTCCCCACGTACCCTATATGCACTTTGTACAGGTTCACATGTTGCTGATGAAGTGAGACAGGCCCACTGACTCCTCTGAGGTGAGAGCCAATTAGAGCTGATCAGCAACAGCTGTGTCACCAGCATGATGGGCTTTTTAACCCTCACATGTGGCACAGGTAGCATTTCCTCTTGGTGACTGAAGCAATGGGAGCTGTTCAGGTCTTGGTTATTTGCGTGCTGACTGTTTTTCTTGCTAAAGGTTTTTATATTCCTTCTGTTTGAAGCATGTGTTGAAGAAATTGGTAGTTGTAAAGTTATGTTTGAGCCAAAATGTTTTGCTATGAGAAGCCAATGCCTTGCTGTAACTTCTAAAAGTTTGTTCATTCCTGAAATGTTACTGTGACAAATTGATCTGTGTTTTGAAATGGCACAAACATAAGTTAACAGTGAGTGCACTGTCCATAGGCTCTTGTTTGCCAGTTGGTGGCCCAAATGAAAGACATGATGGGCTGCAGAGGAGAGTAAGAGGTAAGAACACTTGTGATATATTCAGAGCGTCAGGCTGACAGTAACTGCTTTGTACTACAGAGTTGTTGCAGTGAGATGTTACAGGAGAAGATTCTACGAAACCCTACTGGTAAAATGCATGTTGGTGTAGCGCCTTAGTTCATAATCTCAATGTAGTTAATCTGAGCACACCATGTGACGTCTACAATGGCTGTCTACATCAGTCATGCAAATAAATATGTACATACTAGAACATCATGGATGCAGTCAGTTGCATATTCTGTCATATTGCAATAAAGCCAGGGCCGCTGTGGAGCCGGC